CCTTCACTCTCGCCAACGGCCGATGCCTTACGAGCCAGACCTGGAGCCCATACCCGCGCGCGCATGCCAGTCGTCGCCTCGAGGGGTGGTTTACTCCCAACAGAGGGGCGCCGAGAGGAGTCTGGTGTCCGAGCTCTCGGACGACCTCCTCGTCGAGATCATCTCGCGCGTGCCATATAAGTCCGCCCGTTGCTGCGAGTGCGTCTGCACGCGATGGCACTAAATCGTTTCTCACCCAGACCACCGCAAGAATCTGCCCCAGTCGACCCTCGCCGGCATCTTCTACCAAACCTACAATATGAACCGCTACCCATCTTTCTATCCTGGTTACACAAGCGTGTTAGGGAACTGGTGCTCGAGCATCCACCTGACCCTCTCGTTCCTGCCCAAATGCAACAGACACGATATGAGCTTGTTAGGCTGTTGCAATGGCCTCCTTCTCCTCCACAGCTGGAAGCAGCCTTATGGTGTCAAGAGACTCGAGACATTCGATTATGTGGTGTGCAATCCTGCCAGCGATAAATGGGTGGTCGTGCCAGCCACCAGCTGGTCCAGCAAGGTGCGGATCTTTCCTTAGGGTTCGATCCCGCCGTCTCCTCCCACTTCTACGTGTTCGAGTTTGCACCTGCTGGTGTTGTGGATGCGAATGCAGATGGTGATGATCTACACACCAAAGCAGTGGCTATCTACTCTTCCAAATTTGGGGCTTGGACACATAGAGTTGTTTGGGATAGTCAAATTTCGATATTCCGCAATTCAAAAAGCTTATTTCAGAGTGGGATGTTGCATTTGTCTGTGGATGATGATTTTGTTCTAGTAGTTGGCGTGGAGAGAAACCGTAGGGTCATCCGTGCCCCTATGCCCCATTCTGCCTGTGATGTTCATAATGTTTATCTATCACAAGGACAATTGCATTTGGCAAAGAAAGGTGCTTCTGAACTATAAATTTGGGCTCTTGAAGATTATACTAGTGAAAAGTGGAGCTTGAAGCACAATGTCAGCCACTTACTGCTGCAAGGAACCGAGTACCCATTGATTATAAATAAGTACTAAGTCATCTCAATCCACCCAGAATACAATTTGTTATTTATTGTACGTAAGAAGAGTCGTCGATTAGCAGCACTAATGTCATATGAAATAGATTTTTGGGAGCTGTATTTTGTATAATTTTACATGGGGTTGTGGGACTCCTTATCTTCCATATATGTCCCCTTCTTCTCAGATTCATTAGCAGGTGGGCACTAGAAATCTAGTTATGTAGTGCGGCTTCACAATTGTATCTCTTTTTTTCCGTAGTGAAACAACTGTTTATCCTTTCTATGAACTTGGTCTTGAACAGTAACTTTAGTGATTTGGATAGACCTATTTGAAGTTATGAACGTTCTCATTGGTGATTGAGCACACTCGTGTACCTAAGTTCAAGTGGCTAGGTGTTGCAGTTAACAAGATACAACTAAGTTTACTTCTGTTGTGCAGATGTGTGTACTAGCAACCCATGTAGATGTAACACCCTGAACCATGACTACTTTAATCATTTGTTGAAACCTCTATTTGTGTCTTAAATCACTAGTGTAGAATGGTGCTATTAAGACACACCTATCACACACCCTTGGATCGAAGTGTGTGTGATTGAGGCATTGCACATGGTGGAAAAATAAAACTGTGTGCCAAAAAGTGAAATCTGTGTGATAGATTATCATTTGGGGACGATTTTAAAAGGGAAGCCGTGGGCGATAGTGGGCACACCATTCTCTCATCAAAACAGTGCGCAATGACTCGAGACAACACACATGATTGGCAAAAAGGAATTGTGTGCCATAAAGGGAAGCATCACACACGTGAGCAAATAGGATCATCGTGTCCGAACCTCCGCACACTGTTGGGACTAGCCTAATAGTAGCAAAATTGTGTGAAATATCATGTGCAGTTCGCACACGAAAAAAGAAGATGGAATTGCATGTAAGGTAGTGAACATAATTTCTTGGATACAAATTTGTGCGATAGGTAGTATGTCCACGAACACAGTTCTATTGCTAATCGTGTGCAATATGCCCGAAATATCAACTTTGTTTAATGGCACAAGGTTGCCTGTCCCAGTCTGGCAAGCTTGTTTCTCACAGGGAATGCGCCTAGTAATGATAGGAGCCCATTCTCACCAAGAGATCCTCCCGCCCATTCCCTTTCCTGGTAATTTATCTAACCATTGTGCACGTCCCCGCCTAGAACCCATAGCCAGTGCGAACGGGCGTGTGTGAAAAAGTCCAGTAGCTTACACCCATTATTGCCATTTCTCCAATGCTCTGTTCGTCTCCGCCTACCTGTCCGATTCAGAAGGTTGATGAGAGCTTGACGATGATCCCCTACTCTAGCAGGTGCTTGAGAAGTCCCGTGTGGTGGCCGCGTTCAAAGTACCTCGACGCCGCGCCAACGCCAATCCACGACCACTCCAGCCCTGAAGGTTTTATATTAAGTTCATATCTTAGTAGGCACGAGGTTTGGAAGATCAAGGCACTCATATCTTAGTGTGGGCTCCCAACGGTGCCACTAATTTTTAACAATGACACCATATTGATAGCGTGGGGTGTCCATGCCACCAAAGGAGTTTTTTTGGCATGCCACCACTAGACTTTTTCCGCACTAGTGTTTATCAACAAACATTTCACTGCTCATTGTATCTATACCTATCATGACCTCCTCCTGGAGCAATCATAATTAAGCAAGATATTGAGAGACGTCTTCAACAAGGGAAACGACAAGGACGGCATTTTACCGGCATCGAACCTCGTTGATCAAGAAGCTTTCGCTCAGACCTGTGCACGATTGCCCCACCAAACATGGGATAGATATTGTCTATTCAATAGCCTCTAACGCGTTTCCCTTCCGACAGGCCTTGACCCAGTGAGAAGACTTAGTCTTCGACAAGGACTCCATGGAGGATCACCGGGAACGAACACTGTCGAAGAACAAGGCTTTCACCCAGTGCCTTATGCCTTGCACCTCCGAGCCTAGGAAGGGGCCAGGCCAGTGCAAACCGAATTCGTCAGCGGCGAACTGGACCAGTGAGAGGAGAAGAAACACCACGACCACTACATCACCATCATGGACTGGAGTCTGACGATGGCACGACCACCACCACTGCAACGAGGTCTTTACTCGTAGTCTCTTACGCTTATAGGAAAATCACGTGTCATTACTCTTTTTACTAGGAAAACGTTCCGAGACGGCGCGCCGGCTGAAACTCCATCCGGTCACACGCCACGCACCATGTAGTTGTGGGCCCCAAGCGCACCGCTTCTGGTTGTCTCCAGAAGAGACCACATCCACACGTCCCTTATCCTCTCTCCGTCTCTCGCCTACATCTTTTCTTTTTCATGTCTATCCCTTCGTCCCCAATTTCTTCTTCTACCTCTCGCTCCTTTCTTCCATCAGTGTAAGGCAAGGTCAGGCACACCAGTGATGCTGCAAGCCCACGCTGCCGCTGCCCCCTAGGACCACCGCTGCAGTCCACCCCTCGCCAGTGTTCTTTGCTGCAACCACCCACTGCCCGCCGGAACCGGCGAGCTCCGGTGCTGCTATTGGCTGCGTGAGCAGCTGGAACCGGCAAATTAAAAGGTTGCAACCGGCAAACCATTTTGCTACGGTGCCGACAGGGCTGCCGTGATGGGCTGCAATCGGCAACACAAAAAGCTGCAGCCGGCCAACCATTTTGCTACGACGGCAACGACGGTGTGCGCGATGGGCTGTAACCCGGTGGTGCACGGAGCTGCATCGGTTTTGCATCCGAGCCACGGCGGCGCCATGGGATGGTTGCAACCTATGTACGACTAGTTGCAACCATCCAAGGCGAAGCTGCTACCGTGGGTCCATCTCATGGCAGTGGTGACCACGACCCGGCGTGGTGACCACGTCCGGACGGCGGTGCTGCAATTGCGACACACATAGCTGGAACCAGTTTGTATTTTTGTTGCAATCATCCCCAATTTTTGCTACTACTGTCTTCAGATTTTGCTGGAACCAGACCAATTTTTTGCTACCACTGTCTTTTTTTGCTGGAACCCGGCGTCTCATTTTGCTTCCACCGTGTTGTGTTTTTGCTGGAACCGGTGTATCATTTTATTTTGCTTCCGTGTATTGTGTTTTTTTGCTGGAACTGGTGACCCGTCTTTTTTGCTTCCACCATGTTTTTGTTTTGCTGGAATCGACAAAGATTTTTGCTACGACTGCTATTGGCTGTGAGCGACGCCGTCGCGCCATTTGATGCTTCAACCGGCAACGAGGATGGCCGGCGAGGGCGACGAGGATGGCCCGTGAGGGCAGCGACCAGAGAGCATCTGCGGCCGGCCAGACGGAAGAGAGCGATGAGATGCAGGGGAATCTTTTCGTACGCGTGTGTTCTGATAAAGACGAAGTGCATCGAACGGTTAGAATGAACGAAATCCTACGGTTGCGGGTTGACCGGCCCAAATTTGGGCCAGTGCGCGGGCGTCTATTAGTGGCCTTTTTACTAGGGGAACGATAGTATTTTGACTCGTGCGACCCAGATACACCTTTTCTCTTCGGCTTTCCTGCTCCACCTCTACGTCCGCGCCGCTGCCGCGCACGCAAACCCTAGCTGCCGTTCCTAGCTTTGTAGTTCGCGACCAGGCTAGCCGGTGCACGAGTCTCGAGTCTTCAGTCGTCCGGCCCGATCTGCAGACTGGCCGTCAATGGCGCCGCGCGGCTGAAAGAAGAAGAAGAGGCGCACGAAGAGGAGCCCCGTGTCCAACCTCTCGGACGACCTCCTCGTCGAGATCATCTCGCGCGTGCCCTACCAGTCCACCTGCTGCTGCAAGTGCGTCTCCAGGCGGTGGCGCGACCTACTCTCCCACCCCGACCACCTCAAGAAGCTTCCCCGGTCGACCCTCGCCGGCATCTTCTACAAAACCTTCGGAGGCACGGGCCGCCTGCCCCCAGCTAGGTTTTGTGGTTACCGAAGCGTATCAGGGAACTTCTGCTCTAGCATGGACCCCTCCCTCTCCTTCCTGCCCAAACGGAGGAGAGTTCAGTTTTACCTCTTGGACTGCTGCAATGGCCTCCTCCTCTCCCGCAACTGGGATCAGCCTTATGGTGTCAAGAACTTTGATTATGTGGTCTGCAATCCCGCCACTAAGAAATGGGTCGTCGTGCCTGCCGCCGTATGGTCCTGCGAGGTGCGGATTACTCGCCTAGGGTTCCATCCGACTGTCTCCTCCCACTTCCATGTGTTCGAGCTTGCATCTGCTGGTGCCAATATGGAGGGTCAGGGTACACGCATCCAAGCAGTCGGAATCTACTCATCCAAAGCTGGAGTTTGGACACATCAAGTTGTTTGGGACAGCCCAATTTCGATAAACCGACTATTCGAAAAGCCTATTTTTCAACAGGATGCTGCATTTATCGTCTCGGTCATGTCATAATTCGGTTGTAGCAGTTGGTGTACTCGGACGAGATGGCACCGTCGATGAAGGGGAGAGGCCGCGGGCGATGGCGCCGTCGATGAAGGGGAGAAGCCGCGGGCGATGGCGCCGTCGATGAAGGGTTAGGGTTTGGGATTGGAGAGGAGGAGGCGCTGTGAGGAGAGGAGAGCGAGGGGAGGGGGGAGGGGGAATGGAACGAGGGGAGGGGGTTCGCTCGATGCCTCGATCTGTCCAGCCAGATGGGCCTTGCTGCGCCAGCGGTCCGCTCGGTCGGCCCGGTTAAAGACCGGACCGGACCGAACTTTTTGCGGTCTGTATTTCTGGGCCCGGCCCGTCCTGTTTTTCTACCGGGCCTGGACCGTACGGTCCGGTCCTGAACGGGCCACGAGCGGGCCGCAAAGCTTGCTCGTGTCGTCCAGGCTGAGCGGTGGTAATGATATTTATTTATCACAAGGACAATTGCGTTAGGCACATAAGGATGCTTCTGAACTGTCAGTTTGGGCCCTTGAAGATTATAGTAGTGAAAACTGGACCTTGAAGCACAAGGTTAGCCACCTACAACTGCTCGGATTAGTGTATTCAAAGTTTCCGGGTTATGCTTTTCCAAAATTTCGAGAAGGGGCTTACCCCGAGCTCTGCATCCCATGATGCACACCGCCAATGTTTCCGAGTTATTACAGAGTTATCTCAATCCACCCAGAACATAGTTTGATATTTTTTGTGTGTGAGAGATTGCGCAAGCAGGGCGAACAATTACTGACGAAACTAATGTCATACGACACGGATTCTGGGGAGCTGCGTTTTATATGTGAAGTTGGACGGGGCTCCAGGACTCCTTATCTTTCATATGTTCCTTTGTTCTCAGAGTCATTGGCAGATGGGCACTAGAAGTCTCAATTGAATAGTGCAGCTTGTATCTCTTCCGCAATGGAACAGCTGGTTATCTTCTTCATGATATTGGAGTTAAGTTTTCAGCATAACCAAGAGTCACTTGGGTGTATCTGAATTTATGCGGCTAGGAATTAGAGTTAACATCTACGACATTAATTTATTTTATGGTCGCCCTGTTGTGTTCGACATTGGTCAACTGACCAGAGGAAACTAATGAAATTAACATTCATGCTCTTGTCAAGATAAATGATGGCAACTAAACTTCATTAGGATGTCTTCTCTATAAAAATCTCAAGTTAGGCTTATCCGCTTTTGTATGCCAATGAATACTTAACTAGTTGCTTACCTGCATTCATATGAATGAGAGCACTGTTGTTATTCATGTTGAAGTGTTTGATTGTTCCGCCGAATATGGAATAGAATTGCTTTACTTCAGGGGCTCTCCATCCCTCGTGTCGCTCCGCTGGAGGTGACTCGGGCAGCGCCAAAACCTTACCGCGCGCCGCCGCCCCTGCTACTTCCCCCTCGCTGTCACCAGAGAAGGTCTCCGGGCAAGCCAGTGCAGCCAAAGAGGATGGTGATGATGGGAAAATGCCGGGCGTGAAAATACGCGTCCACGTTATTGATACAAAGTAAATAATTTAAATGCATAAATAAAATGGAGATCAAACATTGCAGGTACATTATTTCCAGAACTCTTACATTTACATAAAAATTCTGTTAATTATATCTCCGAAGAGAAAACCCCTGATTAAGAATTTCAACATATCTATTACATAGGATTGCGTCACATTCCTATTACAACATACTACAAGAAAAATACTCCTCGCGATTGTCGACGCGGGCATGCTCGGGAGAGCCTTGGACTTTGTGGATATTATCATATGCGATGACTTTTATATTTCGCTTTTATTTGACTCGTACTGATATTGGCAGCACATATATGCATGCTTAAATGGCTTCATTTACTTTTCCTAATTGATTAACCAATACATAGACTTTGATTTATTTTTTCTTTACTTTATATAAGAAAATCATCTTAATGGTTGACCAATCTGTTGAATGAGCCTTCAAACGTCATGATGCATGCATATGGGACATACAGTCATGATGCAACTATTTTAGTACTAACAATTGTAGTACTCTTTGTTTTATGAGTAGATGACATCTTCGTTTCCTTAATATTTGCAAGCCGTATGGGGGATGCATGATCTAACTTTCATCTTATGCGAAGATAAGCTAAATGCGACCCTTTTGAGCATACACATATGTGGAGCAGATAAAAAATATATTTAGTTTGTTTTGGTGGCATATGCAAGTGCACTGCAACATTTCGAGTGCAACCAGACTCAGATTATGACTCTGGTCATCTTTTAGTTTTTTTAATGTATGTACATCCATATGAAAGGACGATACAATTTATTTTAGTTGGGTGGATGTACACCAATTAACCTAGAATTAGCTAGGTACGACGTGTCCATTTTACTTTGCATGCACATACATTAGATTCGCCCATATCTGGTTATTTATCGATAATGCAAACTAGCACTATTTGGGGCCTATGCATTTCATATAGTATATCCATTTAGTCTGTTTTAGAGCATTTGATTAATATAATACCGTTTATGATTTGGGCGGCATTTTGTTTATGCACCATGAAGTGGGAATGTCAGTTTTCCATGCACCCAACTTTGAACATGGTTAATTAAGTTTTGCTATATGACTCAATTTTAGCATATCATGCACACATGTGATCATCGAACATGCGATCAAGTATGGTATCTCTTGACAAGCACTTATGGTTTTGCAATATTTTTTTATATGCAATCTATAATATACAGTTCGTCCATCATTTTTTATGTTGATTTTCCCCGAGTCATACCTTTGTCGTGATTCCGTTGAGAACAAAGTCTTCACTCTACATAAGGGAATAAATACCTTGATTTGTGTCAATATGACCAAACCAGAGGCAATTTCATGCAATTTATACTTCTTGACATGTATCAACATGACCATGGCAAGAACAAAATATCGATTTTTGAGAAAACCTCTTGACATGTGTCAATATGACCGTGCCAAGAGTAAGATATTAAACTTGTGAGAATACTACTTGACCTGTGTTGATATGACCATGCCAAGAGCAAGAATCTGAAATATGGTGAAAATACTACTTGACATGTGTTAATATGACCAAGCCAAGAGCAAGAATCATGTCACTTGGAGAAAAATTCGAGATCTGTGTCAATATGACCAAATCAAGAACCATGATATGGAGGAAAAAGCAAGGATCATACTACTTGAAGAAAAGTTCTAGATCTGTGTCAATATAACCAAATCAAGAACCATCATATCAAGCAAAAAGCTACTTGACTCATGTCAATATGACCAAGCCAAGAGCAAAAATTGGGCAACATGGAAAAGAATTCATGATCTGTGTCAATGTGACCAAATCAAGAATCATCATATGGGGAGAAGCTACTTGGCTCATGTCAATATGACCAAACCAAGAGCAAAGATTGAGAAAACATAGGGAAGATCACCAATAAGAGGAGCAAAGGGATTAGGAGAGAACCATGAATTTCACCTTCTTGCCGAACTCCTCCAAGTCTCCTCCTCTTCATGTGTGTGGAATACTTGCAGCAGTATTTGTGTGCAGCAGTGTTCACGTACAGCAGTCTTCCTATGCAGTAGCGATGAAATGGGCAGTCTAATGCAAACTAACCAGCGGTGGCCATCCAACCTCCTTCCTGTATACAACATGGCAGTGTTTATAGGGCGGACAGCGACGGAGCGCTGTTGGACGCGCGGCCACGTTGCCAGATCGTGGGAAGTGTTCGTGCGATCGTGGGAGCAGCTGGCTTTTTTTCTATTTCTTTATTTCTTAATCACAAGTTGACCGAGCTTTGAACCGGCCACTGGCCTAATTAGCCCATTTATTCTCAATCACCGTGTGGGCTTGATTATTTTAATCAATTTGTGGGCCTTATCACTGTTGAGCATGCAAGAGAGCAACTAATTAACGAGCCCTCTTTCGGGAGCCTCGCAACGATCAGCGCCACTTAACGCGCTCACAGACATTCGCCAAGTGTCGCGCTCTGGGCGCTTCCTCCGGATTATGTTCTTTTTTTATTTTTACGAACGCATTTTCGGCTTTTTAAACGGTTTTCTTCCGGGTTTTTTTTCTGTTTTGGTTTTTTACTAGTCTTCCCTAGCTTTTCGACCAATTTTTTTTCGAAAAAATTAATTTTTTTCGCAAAAAATGCATTTTTTTCGCGAGAGTTACGGTTTTGTTTTCACGAGAGGCACTGCCGCGCCTCTAGGAAACCGAAAAAATGTGTTTTCTGTTTTTTTTCTTTCGTGAGAGGCACAGTTTTGCTTCCGCGAGAGGCATGAGCGTGCCTCTTTCGAAAAGGAAAAAAACATGTTTTTTTTTTCGCGAGAGGCACTGTTTTGCTTATGCGAGAGGCACGGTTGTGCTTTCGCGAGAGGCACGGGCGTGCCTCTTTCGGAAAGGGAAAAAACGCGTGTTTTGTTTTTTTTCTTTCGCGAGAGGCATGGTTTTGCTTCAGCGAGAGCTACGGTTGTGCTTTCGCGAGAGGCACGGGCGTGCCTCTTTAAAAAAACGCATTTTCTGTTTTTTTTTTCTTTCGCGAGAGGCACAGTTTTGCTTCCGCGAGAGCCACGGTTGTGATTTTGTCAGAGGCACGGGCATGCCTCTTTCTGAAAGGGAAAAAACCATGTTCCCGGTTCGGTTTTTTCGTCGGTTTTTTTCGTCCAGTTTTTTCGTGAAAAAAAAGTTCGTCAAAACCTATCAACATGGGATCTAGTTTTGAAGATCTCGATGCGTGGAATCCAACAGCAAAAGCGGTTCGAGATTTGGACGTACGGTTAAGAGATAAAACGTTTTGAATAAACGGATCGACGAAAAAAGGGAATACTCCCGGTTGCAACAAGTGACGCACATGCAGCGCGCCACTTGTCGCAACCTGGGAAAGTTGGAGTGATCTCCGCAAGGAGTACTCCTTAATTAGTGATTTCGTGCAACGTGGCTGTATTTTTCAAATGGAACACTAAACTTGATTAATATATTAATGGCTCATTGAGGCCTA